TATTCATATTTGTGTCCGGACTATATTGGCAAGTTACTTGTAGACATAAAACATATAATTAATGACGATCTTAACAAAGATGTACTAAAAGAATTATGTGATTTAATATCATTAATTTTTATGCTACCATCTACAAGTGCATCTGTTGAGCACATATTTTCAACCACGAAGTGAATTCATACATTCACAAGGAACACTCGATCAGAGGAAAGATTGTCATCACTAGCATATCTTTCAATAAAAAAAGTGCTTTAAAAGGCTTTGACAGAATCAACAACAAGCAATTTTTATGATAATGTAATTAACAAATTTGTGGCAAAAATTGCCATATAGAGTTAGTTTATAAAAAAATAATAAAGACAATTTTTATATCTTNAATAACTTTTTTTTTATATATTTTTATTTCATAAAAATTCTTTACATGATAATCAATAAGAACAATGGAAAATATGGATTATACCGGATGAGATTCTTTGGCGTTATCAGTAGGTAAAATTTCCTGCATTCATCCACTTATAAAATAGTGAAATTCTTCTAAAAAAAACACACTTTCTTTTCCACAAAAATACAAGATGTAATATTCAATACACGATGAGTCGTTAAGCGAATTGATTAATTGGAATGGTAAAATTCTCGTGTCTCATCATCGACAATGGTTTTGTGGTTCTGGGAAAGAGCTGCCCGCACTAAACCCGTCCTCGACAGTTTCGTCTAGCTTCATAAATATTTGAAAAGTCCGGTAAACGAATGGTTAAATGGTTCCGCGAATACGGAAACTGATCCAAATCCGATCTGAAAAGTTGGATTTTTGCGGCTTTGGTAAAAAAAGAAAAAAAGATGGGTCTTCGCTTGAGATTACGATTGGTCTCTCTACTCGTACAGAATGTAATTTTTCAAACTTTTGGGAAGATAAAGCTTATCGAGGTCGCGTGACTGAAGACTTTCGGTTATGGCCAAACGACTAAAATGCAGCAGTGGACGGACTCGGGTTTCTGCCTTCCAGAATGTCATGATTCCGTTGGAAGATCTACAATAAAGAATAAAAAAAAAGAAATTCCCTCATGTACTAAACCATTCGTTTCTTAACGAAAACTACAACTAACATGCATAAAATTTATAATTAGTTTTATACAATTTAAATTTAATTTAAAAAAAAAAATTAAAAACTTTAATTTAAATAAGTTAAATTTTACATTTTTGTGCACAAGAACTCGCGACCGAAAGTCGAATGTAAATGTAATTTGTTAGAAAGCGAAATAAAATTTAAGTAATGCAATTTGTGAAATGTTAATCTGTTTCGGAAGATAAATGATTATATAGTCTAAATTACGTGTTTGGTGATTAACGCGATACTTTAACCTCCAGTTTGTGTTACCGTCTTCGTCGACCTTTAGTCCGGATGCCAAAATAAGCCCTTTATTTCTGTAAATAAAATCAATTTAAACTCGCTTCGATATCTTTGTCTCGTTCAAATAAAATACGCGAAATTTGAAATTATAAAATGAAATTAGTTTTAATCCATAAAAGAAGCGAATTAAAAAATTTAATACAAGGAAAAAAAAACTCTAGAAGAGTTGAAAACAGCCGATACAGAACAGTGTTTTTGACTTTTGAATAGGTATTTTGAAATTAAATTTGGTGTTTGTTTTTGTCTCCTTTTCTTTTTTCCAAGCGAATCTTATCATCTTATCAAACTCTTGAAGAACATATAAAGCAAATAGTCAGTCGGACTGATTGTGTCGATGCTTTGATCTAATCAATAGTGATTATTGTCAGTGTTTGATACCGGCGTTGGTCGTAAACATCATTTGTTCCGATAGGATCTGTGCATCCTCCTCTTCTTGGTAGGAAAGTTCTATTATTTTCCTGCAAGACGAAAATTCCATTTGGTTTATTTGGCCTTTCAAACTCCATAAAACGAAAATGAATCTGATATGATTTGGTTTTTTTTCTTTGTCTTTTATAACATTTTCTGATCTCTTCTTTTTATATCATATTAAAGATTAAAAAGTATTACATTTCAAATCTCCATGCAACTTGCCATTAAATTTTTAAGTTGTAAGCATATATTATTCGAACAAATGCTCTTTTTTAAATATTAAATTCAAACTTTAATCTCTCACATTTATTAGTTTTTATAAATTTTAAAAATGAAATTCTCTTAAGTATTTAGATCCATTTATTATTAATTTCGTCTTCAATTTTATTATTTTAATATATTTATTAATTTTTTAAAGTTGTAGTAAACAATTCTTGGCATTTTTATTATACATAAAGAGTCTGAATTTTAAAATCGACTGTCACATTAAACTTTTAAATTAATTTTCTCACAGGCAAATAGAAAATCCATCTTTAAGCTACTTAAGGCTAACTAACTTATACATTTTGCAGAAATTTGCATTTTCCAAATTAAAAGACAGTATCTAAACTAAGAAATGGGCTTTATTCCGCTTCAATAATAATGAAAATGAAAGCTTAAATAATATTGAAGTCAATCAAAAAAAAAAAAAAAACCAAACTAATGGAAATTCGTGAAAAGAAAAGTCAATGAGCAGCAAATATCAATAAAAAATACATTCTACTCTGTAATTATCCTTTCTACAATTGAGAAAATAATGGAAATAATCAAAAGAAAATTATATTAATTCTGTTTAATTGCAACTTATCGTTAAAAAATAATTTAATATCTAATCGCGTAAGCATCTTTTAATGAGTCTAAAGAAGTTAATTTATTGTCGAAAATATTAGCTTTAATTAGAAAACTGTTTTTAATANAAGAATAAATGCAAATTAAGTAGCGCTAAACATTATTTTAAAAATTGGGAAATTTTAAATAATACATAAATATTGTAATTCGAATAAAGGTTTGGCCGCGAAGAAGAAAATTTTAAGTAAAAGAGAAACAAAATGTTCAACGGTAAACAAGTAGAAAAGGAAATTAACCGGATTAGAAATGTTAATGGAACGTCTTTAAATAAAATTTATGTTTACTCGAATATTTTAAAAGGAAATGTATTCAAATCGAGTAGTAAATATATTCCGATTCCGACTTAAATTACTTTATCACTTATTCAAAGTCACTTTATATCCTTTCTTGGTTTCTCTTTATTCCGCATCTTCTTTCGTTTAACCAACGATTTCCATTGTTCGGAGAATACTTGCCACTTTCTACTCTACCACAATACACAAAACATACAAAGCACTTCGGATAGGTAAAACGCCCGAGCAATATGCGAAAACGCTACGTGCCTCCATCTCTTACTTGGCTTTTTATACATTTCTACAACACTTTTTGGCATTTTATATTCAGGGGTCTTTGTAATTTCGTAACATTCGACGTTTTACGCAATTTACATACTTTCCGGACAATTGATATTATTTGTAAAACGTAAGACCGTGCGGCTAAGACGTAATATTCGATTTATCTTACTCACCTGTCTACGAAATTTCGTGATTTTACTATAGAGGGAAGAAGAAATCGTTTTATTAGCGAGGTTGCGGCCGAAGTTTTCATCTGTAAAACGTGAACGTCGAACGTCGAGCTCTGCGCTCGACGTTCGACGTTCACGTTTTACAGATGAAAACTTCGGCTGCAACCTCGCTATTATCTACGTTTACTTAACGTTTAATTATCTATCAAATTCTTTATTTTCTCTACTTAAATCGTCGTAGAAAACGATAAACTATATATTTGTAGATGGTCGAAACCTCAAGTATTATAAGAAACGATTTTGCAAATATTGCAAAACGCCTAGAAATCGTCTCAATTCTTACGGCATTAAATATCGTATTTGAATGAGGTTAGATAATCGCCAACGGAAATTTATAGTGATTTTTTTTTTGTGCACGTTCGAAATATTCTGCAATTTTGCACATTTTATTTCACAGATTAGCCATACGAATATTTGCCAGTGAAGGGGAGTTTGCTAGAAAGCGAACACGCGGATTTTTTCCCGAGCAGGTCGCATTTTCGTGGCATTTAAGATCTCTTTATTCGTTTTCATTATATTTAAATTCTGGTGTCTACGAACGTTCCGCCGCGGGGTGGAATTAATTCTCGACTGGCGAAGAATGGATAATTTCGATAGAATCCTCCGCCAGTTTGCGTGACTTTTATCGAACTTCCTATTGAAAATCCATACGAAACTACAGAGAAACATTACGCATCCCGGTCGACAGAACTAGATCAAAACGTTTAGAGTAACGTTAGGCGATTCCGTAGAAATTCCCATATCCGAATGGCCGAGTTAGGCTTAATTAGACAAGAGTTTCGCTATTTTCTTCTCCGAACACGCAACTAAATCAATAAACGAAAATCACCCACGTCACAGAAATTCCCCTTCGGGGGTCACCGTATTAAATAAATGACTTTATAATTAATTTATAATTAATAATAATCTAACGCGGTTCTTTCCTTTCGACGGGGAATACCTAAGATAAATTAAACTCGGAACAATTTATTTATTACGCCGACTTAAGTTTGTGATAGTTTATTTAAAGGGGCATCATCCATCATGGAACGAGATTTTCAAAAGCCGGAGTCATTCGTTAGCAAAGGTATATTAATAATGCAAGTTAGAAGAAAATGGCGGAAAGGGTAGAGATTTTGCTCGCGACCGTCCAATTATCGGAATTACTCGTATGCAAATTGGGTGGCCCGCACTCACCTTTCGCCTTATTTAATGGCCGTACTTAGATGCCGGATGCCGATCGTCTTCGGTATTTTCTAGTAAAATTTTTAAGAATATAAACAATTTCTTCCATTTTTTTTTTTAAAGTCTTCCGCTCGATCTTTCCAAAAAATCGAGATCCTAATAAAGAAAACCAATCGGAACGGGATTGTTATGCACGGATCGGTGCGCTCCTCCTCATTAAAGTAAATGAAATTAAGATAGGATAATTTGGTTTATCCTAACGAAAAGTGTTTTTCTCGTCTTGTTGCTTTCCTCGTTTAATTTCTAAAAAAAAAAGAAAAAACAAAATCCTGGCCTTTTTTTTTCTGAAAAACTTTATTTTTTTTTATTCCATAAATTTTCTGCTATTAACTCGACTTTAGCATCGGTAAGTTGGCTTCTAAATTTAGTAGAAAATGTTCAAAGAAAAAAAAATTCCAGTTAATTCTACCCGACAAAAATCAGAAACGATTAAGAACATAAAAATCACAATCTCTGTCAATTTTCGTCAAAAAATTCTTCACGGTTCATCCTTCGCAGATTTTTCTTGCCATTCTTGTCACTTTTAATCATCCCACGCTTCGATTTTTTCCATTCTTTTTTTGTTTACGTTGGCCACTTTATTATTTAAACATGGATTTTTTTTCTAGTTTTTTTTAAACAAACAAAAATCGCTGCTGCAACATTTCTTCTTTTTTTTTTAGAAAAAAATAAAAATATTTTAAAGATTGAATAACGTAAAATCTCTAAAGCAATATAAAATTTAAGTGCCTTAAAAGAGAACTTTAAGACATTCCTCTTCGGCATCTTAACTTTTAATGGATGCTACTTTTAAAAAAAAATGTATATATATATATATAGGCCTATATTTTAAGCAAACCGATAAAAATTCTATAAAATTTATTAAAAAATACAGAATTTTTTAAGCTTTTTTGATGTTTTAATTCGAACTTTTCAAGCATTGGGTTCTCTGCTTGCAAATTCTCGGTAATAAAGAAGCTGTGTGTCGATCAGCGTGTAGCGGAGATCGTTACGCTGTCCATTTCTTCATTTAAATAATTCTTTCGGTAAACATCTACAAAAATTCTTATGAATATAGAATAATCGGATCGATACGAAACCGCTTCCTCTACACAAAGGATAAATTACCTGTTATACATAATTTAGAAATTGCCCGGAGACAAGATCAACAAATTCTTATCTAAACTTTTGAATATTAACGAGGGTATGTAAATCGATATTCGTATGTTACGGGTTGATGCATTCCTCAATACTAGTTTATTATGCAAAATATTAGCTTAGCAAAATAAAAATATCAATTATTTAGCTCATTCGATCCATCGATCTGTCTTCCTACACCGTGACAATTCTGAATTTACGCGGTGAGGGATCAGAAAGTTGATGTTTGTAGCAGCGTGTGTTTTTTAATTCAGATTTTGTACCTTTTTGTATAATTAACAATCGTTCAAAATTACACTTTTATGTCTTTGCTACAAAAAACGGGGTTTCTCCATTAATTTCAAGTAATAATATACTGTATTTTAAATAAAATATTACTACAAAACTTTACGTTATACTCCGTTAACAGCGAGTTAAGTTTTTCTTTAGAAAGAATAAAGAGAAAAATACAGTTTAAACGTCAATTATTCTAGAAAGCGAAGTACTTAGTCGAATAAGCAGTCGGCGGAGACGTATGCTAATTTCTGGTATCGGAGACCGTGTGACGTCACGGAGCCAACGGTATTAGAACGAGGAGGTCCGAGTAATCCAGGATGATAGATTTGTTGCCTTTAAGTCACCTGCCGAGGACAGAATGTTGACAAAAATATCGAAGAGAATGAAAAATGAAGTCGATGCCTTATCGACGTCTCGGTCTGCACAAAATGGCCTTTTTCTTTCTTTCTTTCTTTTATTTTTTGCTAAAGATCGTTATAATTTTTTGGAACAGAGACGAAACCAAAGCTACGTTTTCGTCGATTCGATCTGATCGATACGTTCCGGTCTCTAATTGGTTCTTAATTAGAGTAAACAAAACAACCGTTTTTTTTTTTTAAATCGACAAATATCATTCGTCAGAATGCCATCGACCGATTTGTTTTCGTTCCGCAGAAATATTCGAAGTAAAAACCAGGAAATTTTAAAACTTTTTCGACTTGTTTTATGACGATCGAATCGACGGTCAAAGAAAAAAAAAAACATTTGTCACAAATAGATTTGACAAAACGCCCAGGGCAATAAAGGCCCGATAAAAGCTGGTGTTATCTTAATAGCGCACGCAAACTGTAATTTTGATTTTTGCTGCGAGATCAAAGATTAAAAAGTATCGATCAATTAGAGAGGAATCGAATTGATCTCGGTATCAAATGCACAAAACTCCGCTTTTAATGGCATCCGGAGAATTACAATCCGGATCTCGTCGAAGGAAACAAATTTACTTCTGTACTTTTCGGCCGATTTCCGAAAGAAGCGTCATAAAACCAAGGGCAAACACACACGAAATAAGACGATCTTTCAAAACAGACAATTATCGGAGTTTAAACGAGAGAACGATTTTCGGATGATGCCATTAATTGTTGCTACAAATTTTGTAATCGATCGAATTTCTAGAAGTTTTTAAATTAAACTCCCGATTAACAATTACTGCAATTGAACAATGTTTTGAATATTACAATGAAATCGTGCGTAAAAATCTCACCAATAACGAATAACCGTGATAAAACTGTAGTAGTTACAGAAGCCGAAAATGACCACAGACAAAATGAAGGCGTTTTCCTAGAAAATCTGTTGGAATAACGAATCAAAATAACATTCCGATTTTTACTCATTCTTGCTTCCTTCCAATTTGGAAATTGCTTTGTTTACTTATATTGGTGCGGGGCCACTCGACACTTCAAGGAATTTCCACCATCTTTGCCTACTTACGAACGGTAAAGGTTGACCGCCGAAATAAATAATAAATATCAAACTTTATACTTTTTTAAACTAAAAAATAAAGATGGAAAACCCTCGATTTGTACGCTTACGTCGTTTTTTTTTTATAACAATGGGGCCTATAACTTTCCATCTTCGATTTTTCATAATTTTTTAACGCCCGTTTCGAGCACTTGCACAATAAAACGCTTTCGCACAAAACACGAAACGAACAAATGAGAAAATTGCGTGATGACGCCATAATACCGATTGTTTTTCGAATGGCATTGGTGTATAGTCGATTCCTGCCTAGTAACCGATGTAACTTTTCACTGGAGTAAGGTGCAACAAATTCGTGGTAAAACGCTTCGGAATTATCTAAAAATAAGGCATTTATTAAAATTATTTTTGCTTAATAATTAATAAAATTAATCAGTGAGTGACATTTTAATTAAAGATAAAACTTACACGATAAACAAAATTTGAATATCAAATAATATTCAAATCACAACATCCATTTTGTAATTTTTTTTTCTCAATAACCATCGAATAATTAAATGAAATTTTAATAACGGTAATGGATCGTTCTATATTATTTTATACAAGTTTTATTACGAATTTAAATACTTTTATTCGCATAAATTCCAATGGTGCGTATCTTAGAAGTGTAGAAGAATCGATACTTTCTGGTGGCATAGAGAAAAAAATAAGGTACAAAAAGTATATGTAGGCCTATATATATATACAAACACCTCTTACTTCTTTTTTTTAGAAAATTAATTAATTTAAGCGATAAAAATAAAAAAAATACTCCAAAAAAGTAAATAAAAACAGATATTCTGTAGCTCTAAAGTTCTCTAACAAACAAGCGAAGCGCAATTGCTTATCTCGTTTTCTTCCTACAAGTGATTTCTTTTAAAGAAAAGTATATTTTTATCGAATTTTAAAGAAAGAAAGAAAAAAAAAACAAATGTAGCGAGCAATATTGTTATTTCTAAAAACTCCAGAATAAAATCTAAGTTTACAGCATCACGATTTGAATATGTATAAAAATTTTTTAAATAAATTAAATTAATAATAAAAACTCGAAATTATTCCCTTAAAAAAAGGAAAAAATATATATATCGATTTGTTTCTTTAATATTTAATTATGTTCAAGGATAAATTTTAAATTCGTCTATCGATCTGGCATCGAATGTGACACGTGATAAACAATTCTTATTTTTCTCTTCTCATTTACGTCAGATATTTTCAAGGAGATAGTTTTAAGTTATTAAAAATCAGTTGGAGTTTATGGATAGCGAATTTACTTCTTTTTTCCCCCTTCCCCCTCTTAAAATCCACGTCTGGATAATTGACCTTTCGTAATTAAAATGAAAAATCAAGCTTCGTTCCTTGATTAGGATATCCATTATATTAATATGAATGGATTTCTTTTTTTTGGGGGAGGGAAAAATTAAATTCTTTAATTAAAATCGTTTAAAATGCTTTAAATAAATTATCACAATTTCCTTTTCCTCGATTAATTTGATAATGTTGACCTTTAACTAATTTTCTTCCTTACTTTTTTTTTTTCCTAGTAATAAATCGTTTGATACTAGATTTATAAAGTAATTTTTTAAATAATTTTCTAGAGTAAAATATTCTTTTTATTATCGAGAAGACATTTCTCTTGTAAATTAATTAACAAAACGATTAAAATTTTTGATCCGAGTAACATTTTTCTTAGGAAAAAAAGAAACTT